TTGTCATAGTCAAAGATAGAGGGAATGGAGAGTCATAGGGTTGCCATAGAAATGAGCAGAGGCATGGGGTGGGAGGTTCTTGGAGTTGTCATAGTCAAAGATAGAGGAAATGGAGTGTCATAGGGTTGCCATAGAAATGAGCATATGGCCTTGGGGTTGTTATAAAGATAGATGTAATGGAGCCATAGAGTCATAGGATTGCCATAGAAATGAGCAGAGGGCATGCGGTGGGAGGGCCTTGGCGTTGTCATAGTCAAAGATAGAGGAAATGGAGTGTCATAGGGTTGCCATAGAAATGAGCATATGGCCTTGGGGTTGTTATAAAGATAGATGTAATGGAGCCATAGAGTCATAGGGTTGCCATAGAAATGAGCAGAGGGCATGCGGTGGGAGGGCCTTGGCGTTGTCATAGTCAAAGATAGAGGGAATGGAGTGTCATAGGGTTGCCATAGGAATGAGCCGCGGGCATGGGGTGGGAGGGCCTTGGGGTTGTCATAGTCAAAGAAAGAGGGAATGGAGTGTCATAGGGTTGCCATAGGAATGAGCAGAGGGCATGGGGTGGGAGGGCCTTGGGGTTGTCATAGTCAAAGATGAGGGAATGGAGTGTCATAGGGTTGCCATAGAAATGAGCAGAGGGCATGGGGTGGGAGAGCCTTGGGGTTGTCATAGTCAAAGATAGAGGGAATGGAGAGGCATAGGGTTGCCATAGGAATGAGCAGAGGGCATGGGGTGGGAGGGCCTTGGGGTTGTCATAGTCAAAGATAGAGGGAATGGAGAGTCATAGGGTTGCCATAGGAATGAGCAGAGGGCATGGGGTGGGAGGGCCTTGGGTTGTCATAGTCAAAGATAGAGGGAATGGAGAGTCATAGGGTTGCCATAGACATGAGTAGAAGGCATGGGGTGGGAGGGCCTTGGGGTTGTCATAGTCAAAGAAAGAGGGAATGGAGTGTCATAGGGTTGCCATAGGAATGAGCAGACGGCATGGGGTGGGAGGGCCTTGGGGTTGTCATAGTCAAAGATAGAGGGAATGGAGAGTCATAGGGTTGCCATAGGAATGAGCAGAAGGCATGGGGTGGGAGGGCCTTGGGGTTGTCATAGTCAAAGATAGAGGGAATGGAGAGGCATAGGGTTGCCATAGGATTGAGCAGAGGGCATGGGGTGGGAGAGCCTTGGGGTTGTCATAGTCAAAGATAGAGGGAATGGAGAGGCATAGGGTTGCCATAGGAATGAGCAGAGGGCATGGGGTGGGAGGGCCTTGGGGTTGTCATAGTCAAAGATAGAGGGAATGGAGAGTCATAGGGTTGCCATATACATGAGTAGAAGGCATGGGGTGGGAGGGCCTTGGGGTTGTCATAGTCAAAGAAAGAGGGAATGGAGTGTCATAGGGTTGCCATAGGAATGAGCAGACGGCATGGGGTGGGAGGGCCTTGGGGTTGTCATAGTCAAAGATAGAATGAGTTGAGTGACATAAGGTTGCTATGGAAATGAGCAGAGGGCATGGGGTGGGAGGGCCTTGGGGTTGTCATAGTCAAAGATAGCGGGAATGGAGAGTCACAGGGTTGCCATAGAAATGAGCAGAGGGCATGGGGTGGGAGGGCCTTGGGGTTGTCATAGTCAAAGATAGAGGGAATGGAGAGTCATAGGGTTGCCATAGGAATGAGCAGAGGCATGGGGTGGGAGGGCCTTGGGGTTGTCATAGTCAAAGATAGAGGGAATGGAGAGTCATAGGGTTGCCATATACATGAGTAGAAGGCATGGGGTGGGAGGGCCTTGGGGTTGTCATAGTCAAAGAAAGAGGGAATGGAGTGTCATAGGGTTGCCATAGGAATGAGCAGACGGCATGGAGTGGGAGGGTCTTGGGGTTGTCATAGTCAAAGATAGAGGGAATGGAGAGTCATAGGGTTGCCATAGGAATGAGCAGAGGGCATGGGGTGGGAGGGCCTTGGGGTTGTCATAGTCAAAGATAGAGGGAATGGAGTGTCATAGGGTTGCCATAGGAATGAGCAGAGGGCATGGGGTGGGAGGGCCTTGGGGTTGTCATAGTCAAAGATAGAGGGAATGGAGTGTCATAGGGTTGCCATAGACATGAGTAGAAGGCATGGGGTGGGAGGGCCTTGGGGTTGTCATAGTCAAAGAAAGAGGGAATGGAGTGTCATAGGGTTGCCATAGGAATGAGCAGAGGGCATGGGGTGGGAGGGCCTTGGGGTTGTCAGTGACAAAGATAGAGGGAATGGAGAGTCATAGGGTTGCCATAGGAATGAGCAGAGGGCATGGGGTGGGAGGGCCTTGGGGTTGTCATAGTCAAAGATAGAGGGAATGGAGAGTCATAGGGTTGCCATAGGAATGAGCAGAGGGCATGGGGTGGGAGGGCCTTGGGGTTGTCATAGTCAAAGATAGAGGGAATGGAGAGTCATAGGGTTGCCATAGGAATGAGCAGAGGGCATGGGGTGGGAGGGCCTTGGGGTTGTCATAGTCAAAGATAGAGGGAATGGAGAGTCATAGGGTTGCCATAGGAATGAGCAGAGGGCATGGGGTGGGAGGGCCTTGGGGTTGTCATAGTCAAAGATAGAGGGAATGGAGAGTCATAGGGTTGCCATAGGAATGAGCAGAGGGCATGGGGTGGGAGGGCCTTGGGGTTGTCATAGTCAAAGATAGAGGGAATGGAGAGTCATAGGGTTGCCATAGGAATGAGCAGAGGGCATGGGGTGGGAGGGCCTTGGGGTTGTCATAGTCAAAGATAGAGGGAATGGAGAGTCATAGGGTTGCCATAGGAATGAGCAGAGGGCATGGGATCGGAGGGCCTTGGGGTTGTCATAGTCAAAGGTAGAGGGAATGGAGTGTCATAGCGTTGCCACAGGAATGAACACAGTGCTTGGGGCGAGAGGGCCTTGGGGTTGTCATAGTCAAAGATAGAGGGAATGGAGAGTCATAGGGTTGCCATAGAAATGAGCAGAGGCATGGGGTGGGAGGTTCTTGGAGTTGTCATAGTCAAAGATAGAGGAAATGGAGTGTCATAGGGTTGCCATAGAAATGAGCATATGGCCTTGGGGTTGTTATAAAGATAGATGTAATGGAGCCATAGAGTCATAGGGTTGCCATAGAAATGAGCAGAGGGCATGCGGTGGGAGGGCCTTGGCGTTGTCATAGTCAAAGATAGAGGGAATGGTGTGTCATAGGGTTGCCATAGGAATGAGCCGCGGGCATTGGGTGGGAGGGCCTTTGGGTTGTCGTAGTCAAAGAAAGAGGGAATGGAGTTTCATAGGGTTGCCATTAGAATGAGCAGAGGGCATGGGGTGGGAGGGCCTTGGGGTTGTCATAGTCAAAGATGAGGGAATGGAGTGTCATAGGGTTGCCATAGGAATGAGCAGAGGGCATGGGGTGGGAGGGCCTTGGGCTTGTCATAGTCAAAGATAGAGGGAATGGAGTGTCATAGGGTTGCCACAGAAATGAGCCGAGGGCATGGGGTGAGAGGGCCTTGGGGTTGTCATAGTCAAAGATAGAGTGAATGAAGTGTCAAAGGGTTGCCATAGAAATGAGCAGAGGGCATGGGGTGTGAGGGCCTTGGGATTGTCATAGTGAAAATAATGTGGGAATGGAGAATGTGAGGGAATGGAGAGGGAGAGTCATATGGCTGCCATGGAGAAGGGTAGATGGCATGGAGAAGGAAGGCCTTGGGCTTGGAGCGGAAAAGTCATAGGGTTGCCATCAAGATAGCTAGAAGTAATGGAGGATGAGGGCTTTGCGGTTTTCATTTTGATATTGGGGGTGGAAAGGGAGGGTCATAACGGTGCTGTTGAGATGGGTAGAAGGCTTGGAGAAGGAGGGCCATGGTGTTGTTATAGTAGCATATAGAGGGAATGGAGAAGGAGAGTCATATGATTGCCATGTAGATGGGTAGAGGGCACGGAGAAGGGGGGCCTTGGACTTGTCATATTGTTAGAGGGGGTGGAGAGGGAGAGTCATAAGATTGCCTTAGAGATGGCTAGAAGGCATAGAGAAGGAGGGCCTTGGTTTTGTCATAGTCGCAGATAGAGGAAATGGAGAAGAAAAATCATGGGTTGCCATCAAGATGGGTAAAAGGCATAGAGAAGGAGGGTCTTGTGGTTGTCATATTGATAGAGGGAGGGGACAGGGAGAATCGTAAGGTTGCCATCAAGATAGTAGAGGGCATGGAAAAGGACAGCCTTGGGTTGTCATAGTGACATATAGAGGGAACAGATAGGGAGAATCATAATGTCGCCATGGAGAACAGTAGAGGCCATGGAAAAGGAGGACCTTGAGGTTATCGTAATCATAGATATAAGGAATGGGGAGTGAGAGTCATAGGGTTACCATCAAGATAGGTAAAAGGCATGGAGAAAGAGGGCCTTGGGGTTTTCATATCAGTAGAGGGAGGGGAGAGGGAAAGTCATAAGTTTGCCATCAAGATGGGTAGAAGACATGGAGGAGGAGGGCAGTGAGGTTGTCAAGATAGAGGGAATGGAGAAGAAGAGTCATAGATTACCATGGAGATGGGTAGAAGGCATGGGGGAGCGCCTTGGGCTTGTCATAGTTATAGACAGAGGGAATGGAGAGGGCGAGTCATACTGTTGCCATCACATGGGTAGAATGCATGGAGAAAGTGGTCCTTGGTGTTGTCATAGTGGCAGGTGAAATGGAGAGGGAGAGTCATAGGGTTGTCATCAAGATGGGTAGAAGGCATGGGGAAGGAGGGCCGTTGGGTTGTCATAGTCACAGATAGAGAGAATGGAGAGGTAGAGTCATAGCATTGACATGGAGATAGGTAGAGGGCATGGAGAAAGAGGGCCTTGGTGTTGTCGTAGTGGCAGGTTGAATGGCGAGGGAGAGAAATTCCCTCCTGTGTACAC